CCACGGTTACTCTTCATAGTTGTTCAGATTCAGATAAAAAAATACCAATCCCCTATACGACCACCAGGCATAATTGAATCCTGAGAAAATTATTTATTGGCATATTCCAGTTTCTGTGCAAATAAATTCCATGTAATGCTTGACCCTGGTAAAAGCACTGATCCCAGACATTTCGCAAAATTCCGTCCCGCCGAATGAAGTGATGCCAATCTGCACGTATCTTCCAGATTCTTGTGTCACCAGGGGTCCACCAGAATTTCCCTGATGCAAAATGAAAAAGCATAATGAGCATTTTAAGATCAAAACGCAATTTCAGTACTGAAATCGAAATAGAAAATTTAAATATCACTCCGAGAGAAATATAACCTGACCATCCAGTAGCCAGCACTCAACAGCGTTGTTTTTATGTGCAAAATATTTTTCATTTCAATTTGTCCTCGTCCTGTTACAATAGTTACACGAATACTTTATATGAGACTTCAATTTTTGAAGCACTTCCAAAATCAACTTCGAACTGCAGTAAAATGAAAATCATTGATTCAGAATTTAAATTGTAAGCACAAACCGAACAAATTGTTTCTCGGCCAATTTCGCCGCCAATGCAAATCATGCTCGGCTTCAGGTAAATTGACATGAAAACTGAACTCCTTTTGCATTCCTCGTTATCCAAAGTCTTGGCTCGAATTAACTTCAGTCTCCTCTTTGATTTGTCACCTTCATTGTCTGATGTTTTCCCAAATAACCCAGATGTTATGCAGGGTACTTCGACATCCTTGGTTGTTTTTGTTGGCAAGCAAACTGGCATCCAAGTGACTGATGGATGGAGCAGAAGTTTGCAGGAAGTTATTTCACAATAATTGGCTATATATGATGAATTTATGAGTACAGCTATATTTAAACAGGAGCGGTAAAAAACTTTGTGATAAACGTAGAAAAATATTCCAAGTCAAAGTTAATTACATTACTATAAAGTAAAGTTTTCAATCTCATTGTGTCCCATCCTTCCGCTGTTTCAGAAAATGCTCACAGAAAATTTTAAAAATGAATTTTCCCCTGATATTTTGCATAAAAATTTATTTTGCAGTTTCATCTCAAATTCAAGTGACTTGGTACAAACTTGTGTCAGGAATACTTCAATTTGATACTCATCAGTTTTCAGTTCACAATTTTCTGTTGAAATGCCAAAATAAGTCTTTTAGTGAGTACATCAGTATTTGGAACAAATTAAATAATTCACTTGTCAACCTAGAGGAAAATCACATTTTGCGTTACGAAAATTCTGCATTACGAAAAATATACGGATTACTGTGCTAATCTTATTTTCGTCTTACTGGGACACTCTATACAGTATTTAACAGTGGGTTGTTCGTCATACTCGAAATAGTTCATTATTGTTACCTGGCTCATTGCTGGCAATGCTGTGGATTGTGATTATACCAATATC